GGCACCTCGATGTACCATAGATGACCTCCTCCATCAGGCCCATACAGTAAGACAAGACCTCCACTTTTTCTTAGGATTCTGGCCAGTGTCTGGGGAAAATTACGAGTCGTGCTGTGCCTTTGTGCAGCAGGCAGTTCATGACCAGTACGTGAATTTGTCTCTTGTCAACCTAGAAGCTAGTGTCCGTTTCTGCATAGTAATACTAGGGGATACACACCCTCTTGGATACAGGAATTTCTGAGGTGCAGGCAGGTCACTAATATCGACTGAATATTGCAGGAACTAAGGCTCCCGGTTGCACGTGGTTTCTGAGGGGCAGTCCAAAGTGGCTAAGCTTAGGGAAGTTAAAGACCAGAATAGCTTCTACATCACCAAGTAAGTTAGTCCTTTAAACGTGCATGCAGGCGAGATTTCTTGCAACATCAGTCATTTATGAAAATCTGTCCAATAATTCACTTGTGAGGCTGAGGTACCGACCTCAGAGCTCGGTGTCAACAGAGCTTGCCAGGGTAGGCGACTCACTTGGAGGCAGTCCAGACAAATTTTCACAAGTGGTCCTTCGTAACCATGATGTGGAATAGCTAGGTTAAAATTAACATAGCTAGGCCAGAATTAGGAACCAGTTTAACAGAGTTAGGTTAAGTTAGTACACCTAGCCCCAGAGTTACACAGAGGCTAGGCCAAGCTGACTATACACAGAAGTTGTTATTTGCAGTAATTTACAGGCAGGCCAGGTAGGCTAGAGAAGCTTGTGAATTTAATTATATACAGTGATTACAAGTAATCCAGAGTAGGAGACTTGTGTGTTAATTACTTACAGTGGATTTGCAAGGTAGCCACAGTTAGGCTAGGCTTGTGCACTTATAGTAGCTAGGACAGATTTAACCTAGTTATTATTTACAGGGAGTTCTAAAGCCAGGTAAGCTATAGCACACTAGTTAGGTTAGGATTTACCTTATCCAACCATCCACGCTGGACTGAGTAAGCTGGGCCCAGTTAGGTCAAGCTGTTTACATACATTATTCATTTACTGTTTCACAAGTTGAATTGTTGAATTTATTTGTGCTAACCAAGTGATTTTTAATTTGTATACTGCATCTTTTTATTGTGTGATTTTCGTTGTCTTTGACTCATTTTAATGTGGGATTTGTGAACAGACTAGGTTAAGTCCTGTAATTATTTGCTGACATTGTACAGGAAATTGCTAGGTTAAGCTTTCACATTGGTATACATTTGAGTTGGGGTTGATAGCTAACAGTGTACCCTTTAAGTCAGAGTAGAGTCAATATAACAAAGGGAATCGTTAACTTGTTGAGGAACCTTGAGACTCGTTCATTCTTGCCTAACACCGTGACGTGCTGTGTGGTGGACTGAGTAAAGTACAATTAGTGTCACACTCCAAATTAAACCTCGACAATGGCAGATGGGAGTTCAGAAGAGTCTGGTTCAGTGTTAGCAAAATTAAAACGATCAGTGGCGGCATACAAAGGGCATCTGAACAGAACGCCCAACAGGTGCAAGGCTACTTGCCAACGCAGTAAAGTAGACTGCGATGATTTGCAAGACTGCTTGAAGCTTATGGGAGAAAAATGGGAAGCCTACGAACAAGCATTCTCAGCATATGAGCTACATGCTATTGAGGATGGGGAACTCCAGGATAGTCTTCGGCAGGCTCAGGACGAATTCACTAAGGATGATGTAGATTGTCAACAGGAGATGAATACGTGCAAAGATAAGTTAAGTACATTAAAGGCTAGTATTCCAAGGGTGGTGTCGAACACCGCAGGTACCACAAACAGCCACACACCTGTTAATATGTTGCCCAGGTTGCCCCAGTTGAATTTACCGACATTTGACGGAACCCTAACTGAGTACATTGTTTTCTGGGATCAGTTTAAAGCCCAGATAGATGACAGGAACGATTTGTCAGATGCCGTCAAATTGCAGTATTTGCGGTCACAGCTCAAGGGTAAAAAGCCTTAGACTTGGTCCGGCACTACCAGATTACTGACACTAATTACCAACATGCCAAAGACCAATTAGAAGACATGTTTGGCAACACTGAAGAGATAAAAGTGGCCATACTTTATCGGTTGTTGGATCTAGAGGCTTGCCGACATGACCGTCAAAGCCTAGAGAAGTTCTGTATTGAAATTATGAGTTTGACAAATAGTTTGAGAGATTTGCATGATGAGGATGATTCAGAATGGGTCCTTAGCCAGGTGATTCAGAGGAAACTGGCTAGCACTACAGTGCATGAGTTACACTTAAAATATCGGACGATTAGGTTTACAATACAACAAATTGTTGAAGGGTTGGGAGATCTCGTTTCTCATTTGAGTATAGGTGTGAGAAAAGAGTCACCACCATCACCACATAAAAACCCAGACAGTTACTCAAAGATCTCGAGAGATAAGTCTAAAGCTCATACGACTAACGTTGGAGTGTACTATGGTAAAGAAGTGTCTAAGGTAAAAACCTCTAGGCAGAACCTCAGAGGCACTCATGCCAGAATATGCGTGCTCTGCGAAGGCAAACACGCTAGCACGAGTTGATCGGAGTATACAACACTGAGCAGTAGGCAACAGAGACTAAGGGAGTTGAGACTCTGCTTCAAGTGTTGTGGGGAACACTTTGCGAGAGACTGTGGCACCCAGCTCAGTGAGTGTCGAGTCTGTTGCAAGGGTAAACACCATACTGCACTATGTCCCAATAATTTAAGGGAACCCCAGGCTAGTAAGGATATCTCTCAGGTAGAGACAGAAAGGGAGTCCGAGCCTGAAATGGTAGCCAGCGTGATTAGTGGGAGTGAAGTCTCTAATCCGAGTGAGAATCACAGAGGTGCTGCCCTACCTACAGTCATGGCAAAGGTTGTGAATGGGCACAGGTCCGAAACAACCCGATTATTCTTTGACTCAGGAGCACAAGCATCCTTGATAACAAAGAAGTTGGTGGCTAAATTAAAGGTGAAGGCCACAAGAAAAGTTAGTATGATGTTGGGAGGGGCTATAAGTCAGGCCCCACCCGAATCTTATGATGTGGTGGATGTCACAGTCAAATTAGGTGGACATAGCAGAGACATTACAGCCTTGGTGGTAGAGACGTTACCCACGGCAATTACAGCGAGAGGTCTTGCTGCAGCAGCTAAGCGATTGAAAGACCTTGACGCGAAGCTGGCAGACCAGGGAATTACCACTGACACAGTCAGAAATGTAGGTATCCTGGTGGGAGCCAATCAGATAGATGACTTCCTGTCTACACGACGGATGTTTAGGGAAGGAATTGGTTTATACAGATCCCCAGTAGGATACATCATAGGCGGCAGGATTCCACCTGAATTCCCTGCCACGCCAGATGGAGAAGAAGCTATCCCCATGATAGCTGGGGGAGTAGTGATAATGAGTATACACAATGAACCACCAGGGAAGCCGAACCAGGTAGTGAGTGACGAACACTCGGCCACCTTGGGAAAAGACTTTTACAGGGTACATAAAGAGGGAGATAGATTGCCATTAAATCCAGGGAACCTCGTATCAGTGGGAGGAAAGGCTACCAGGGCATGTGGGCCACTGGGTGGGAAAGTACGGAGCCACTCAGTCAAGGCTAGACATACGAAAGATGTTAAAGTTAAAGGAAAGGATGCTAAGACCACCGGAACCAACAAGTTTACACCCCCAGAGGTCCACGCAGTGGAAACTGGACAGTTGAAGTTAGACCAGAGTCTGCTCGACGAGAGTGGCCGGACAGCACTCGTGTCCAGGGTCCGCCGTGGGGTCTCGCGGAAGGTGAACTTGATTTAGACTTAGCACCTACCTTCGCTGGCGGGAGGATGTTGGAACGTATTCAGTCCGAGAAGTCCCAATGGGGAAAAACACACCATTCGAGGGCCCTTAAACCCACCCAAAACACAAACACACTCACCCGGGTTGGCGAAGGTGGTTGGAAGGTACTCAATTTATAGATTTACCCTTGAGGGAAGAAGTAGGTAGTTATACTGTTAGTACACTAATATTAGGATTATTGAAGCAACTGTAGATAATAATAATGTAGACCAAAGACTTTAACATAGGTAGTAATAGGCCGATAATGAAGGCAAACACTAGGTTATGTTAGCCAGGGAGACCTGGCAACCCAAGTTTGAATGCTGGGGCATGGGGTTTTGAGAACAACGTGCTTTCTTCTAAGACCAGACACCATCTGAACAACACGTGCCATGATCAGCAGGCGGTGCCCCCCACGTATCTTCACATATGAAACCTGGGGAAATCTGGTGGAGGCACCTCGATGTACCATAGATGACCTCCTCCGTCAGGCCCATACAGTAAGACAAGACCACTTTTTCTTAGGATTCTGGCCAGTGTCTGGGGAAAATTGCGAGCGAGTCGTGCTGTGGCCTTTGTGCAGCCGGCAATTCATGACCAGTACGTGAATTTGTCTCTTGTCAACCTAGAAGCTAGTGTCCGTTTCTGCATAGTTATTCTAGGGGATACACACCCTCTTGGATACAGGAATTTCTGAGGTGCAGGCAAGTTACTAATATTGATTGAATATTGCAGGAACTAAGGCTCCCGGTTGCACGTGGTTTCTGAGGGAAAGTCCAGGGCTAAGTTTAGGGAGGTTGAAGACCAGAATAGCTTCTACATCACCAAGTAAGTTAGTCCTTTAAACGTGCATGCAGGCGAGAATTCTTGCAACATCAGTCATTTATGAAAATCTGTCCTATAAGCCACTTGTGAGGCTGAGGTACCGACCTCAGAGCTCGGTGTCAACAGAGCTTGCCAGGGTAGGCGACTCACTTAGAGGCAGTCCAGACAAATTTTCACACACACACACACAACAATATATATATATATATATATATATATATATTTATATAATATATATATATATATATATATATATATATATATATATATATCTTGATTATATTATCCAGTTTTGGTCTCCATGTTGTATAAAATATAGGAAGATATACTAGAAAGGATAGTAAGATGATCAACGAAACTCATAACTTTATTAATTATTGAAAAGTAAACTATGTGAAGAAAAACTCGATGCACTGAACCTGCTCTCTCTTAGAAAATTGAAATTCTGATATCTCTTAAGAACCTTTAAGATAAAAAGAAAGCTTACTCTAGCACAAAAAAAATTTACGTGCAAAAGTGATTCAATGAGGTGAAACAACGGGATGAACTCCAAGGTTAGAAGTGCAACATAAATGTGAAGGAAGGTTTTCCAGAGTTACAGAATACTGTAACAGACTGTCTTCTGAAGTTGTAAGTGCAAAATAAATTCAGTTCATAATTAACTGACTGGACAAACATTTTGCAGTATTGGAATCAACCACTAACAATGTAAGGGCTGATTAGATGAGCTTACTGTGGCTATTACAACCTGACGTTAGTTCACTAAGTACGAAAGACAACCGGATGATCGTGGGTTACCCGGTGCAAAGTAGTAGCAGTAATAGTATTAAGAGTATTAGTAGTAGTAAGTAATAGTAGTTAGTAGCAAGTAATTGTATTAGTTGTAAGTAATTGTAGTAATAGTAGATATCCAAATACTTCTTCCACCTTTCCTGTTAAACACTTTTTCACGTTACTTACTGAGATATGCTTCCAAGTTGGTAATATAGTTGGAGGAAGTAGATGGCGACGAGGAAGCTATAGGGTTCTTGTCTTAACTATCTCGAGTCCAGACAGAAGCAGAGGTAGCTTGATAGTTGCCTCGGTGTACTGTATACACACTACAAGGCCTTCTGCTATTTTCTAGCCGCCTTTCCCATGTACTGCTTTCCACAGAGTATTAAACATGTGTGTTGTAGGCAGGGGTTCAAACCTCGCCAGGACGGTTCTTGGTGGTGGTGGGGGATTCGTTCCTGGAAATGGAGCTGTGGTGGTTCACGGTGGTGTTAGGGTGGCTACTAGAATTGGAGCTTCGCTTGTTCTTGATGGTGCTGGGGTCACTGCTGGAGGTAGTGCTGGAGCCATTCCCGGAATTGGTGCTGGAGTCACTTCTGGAGGTAGTGCTGGAGTCATTCCTAGAGGCAGTGCTGGGGTCACTCCTGGAGGTAGTGCTGGGGTCGCTCCTGGAGGTGGGGCTGAGGTGATTCTTGGGAGAGGTACTGGGATTGCTTTTGGGGGTCAGGCTGAGGTCATTCTCTTCCTCTAGGCTGTCGCCTTCATCATACTGGTCAGGTGAATCTATTCTCTTTATCACTGAGGAGCCAATCATACCATGAGTGGCGGAGACGGGGGCGGCAGCGTCGTGTGGCGGCATATCGTCGAAACCGTCGTAAGCCACCTCTGGGATCTGGAAGGTGTTTACAATATAGTCATTGTGAAGGACGTGGGATGAGCCATGCTCTCCTCCCCAGTTATGTGACATATCCCCCTCGGAGAAGTGAGTGTCAGTGGCAGCGTGGCTGGTGATCTCAATGATTTCTTCCCACGTGAGCTTATCACACTCCCCTTTGTCGCCGAGAGGGCAGTAGTCGAACCTCTCCCTGAAAGGAGAGGAGGTGAGGATACTGATGTTGAAGAAGAAGGTGAGGAGAGTGAAGCTGATGAAGAGTGTTCGGTCCATCACACGCGAGATGAACTTCCACTCCTCCACCAAGTCGTTCTTCTTCGTGGCGTGGTCTCTGTCAGCCGCTTCTTGAGATAAAATCTTATTTATGGACTCCAAAGCTGCGATGGCTCGCCGCTGGAAGGGATCTGAAAAATATCAAATAATCTTAGAAGTATAAATGATAAAAAAGTTCAAGCATATCACGGAGCCATATGTTCTCCAACAACAACTGAATTAATCTTAAGGTAATATTTATTTGATAAGAGACATCCAGAAAGGCTAAGTTATGTACTAAAATGTAGAGTGTTACTAGCACCCTGATCCCTCTCTCACCTTACTGTGTACTGGAGCTAATCGTATTAACTACTGGACAGTGTTATCGAAGTGTGGAAAACAGCAGTAATACACCTGACCCTCTTTCTCTCTCTCTCTCTCTCTCTCTCTCTCTCTCTCTCTCTCTCTCTCTCTCACGCACAACACACACGCCAAGTAGAGATGGAGAGAATGCTAGACATGGTAGGAAAAAAAGATGTCTAAATAGATGTTGAACCCTCATGATGCAGAATGGTGATAGAAAGAGCTTCTTTGGTGTAAAAGTGCATCTAATGGGTGGTGAGTTCTGATGCTTTTGAATGACTTTAGCCAGTTAGTCATACAAAGGAACTGAGAGCTGCTCATAGTGTATATATCGCCTGCATCTGGACAAAATATAACTATATGAGATTAAATCTCATTCCACGGGCGCTATGATCCATAAGGTTTAAGTGCTCACAAGGGAATATAATAATAGTTATCCGTGTAAAAATAGTAAAGTGTGAAACGAGTTAGATGAATAGGCATGGAAGTCGAAACTCCATTATACACGTCACAAGAAACAAAGATTCACCTAATCCAGTCACTGGTTACCAGCTGATACATGACCCTGGAAGCAACACTTCAGCTTCTGGGTCTGACATTGATATGTCTATTTTCAGAGAATACATAATTTTAATAGTGAAAAATTTTCACTGAAATGTTGATAACTATGTTTTAAGAAGATGTAAGCATTTTATTTATTGAAAGTGAGAGAGAGAGAAAGTGAGTGACGTGTGGTGTGGTGTACTTACCTGTGAGCACATGTGGATCCAGCTCATCCTCAGGGAACTGCTTGCTTTCCTTCTTGTCTTCTAGTTTAGGAGACTTGGCATGCTGGGGTTGGACCACAAACACTCTCACCATATTGTCACCGTCCTTGTTCATTGCTGTCTTCAGCTTCTGCACTGGTGTGATTTTCTTGCTTTGCTCCTGTGTAGACAGGGACTAAGGTTGTGAGAGATGCCAAGACATATTTCTTCAACTTCCAGTATATCTCAAACTTCTCAATTAGCTATTTACATACCTGTGCAATTTATCGTGTTTACGCCTGTCTTGCAAACCGCTGACTGTCCGCTAAAGCACTCTCCCCTCTCTTCCTAGTAATTCCCTACACCTTACTTCACTTCGTCCCTCTATTTCCACCACTCGTGTTCTGTCCCTTCTCCTGTATTCCCAGTTTTGTCATACAGTATGCTGCAACACAGAGTGATATGGTTCTCTCACCTCTCTCCCCATGAAAAGTATTTGTTACCCACGGTACTACTCCTACACCTTATCTACCAGACCAGTACACAACACTAACCCCCCATTCCCCGCACCTCGTTGACTGAACCAGTACTCACATCGACGTCCCAAGCCTTCTTGACGACGGCTGGGATCTTGACGAGGATGGCGCGGGCCACGAAGAGGGTCGCGACCCTGGCAACACAAATACCACAGCATCAGCCACAACAATGTTTTTTTTTTTTTTTTACCTTTCCTATAAATAAAGAACTAAAAAATATTATGGCACTTATAAATAGTGCATCTTCCTGAGCATCAAGCAATTTATCTTATATTCCTGAGACCTACCCGTACGTCGGGTTGCGTGTGGCCAACAGTAACAGCCTGGTGGATCAGGCCCTGATCCACCATGAGGCCTGGTTATGGACCGGGCCGCGGGGGCGTTGACCCCCAGAAACCCTCTCCAGGTATACTGCGTATCTGTGCTGTCTTGAGGCCTAGTCAGACTAGGCTTCTTGATCTAGTTATTTCTAGTAACATCTGAAACCAACTGATTCTAGCTTTATATTTTTCCCTTTGTTGTTTTAACATCATATCCACTATGGTTTATTTTTGAGCCTAAGATACTCAGAAAAAATATATGAAAAAATACAGACATGATGGGAATAGAACCTTTACTGACAACTTGATCAATAAAGAATCTCATGACACTGAATTTGTCTCTGAAATTTTATCTCCGGTATAATAACACGTCACGGAACGTGCAACTCACCCAGGACAAGTCAGTTTTAAAACTAGCAAACCAGCACATAAACCACAGTGGTTAATGTGCTGGTTTACTATTAAACGATTAATCACTGTAGTATGCCAGATTAACAGGCTTTATCCAGTCGAGTTTATTTTTATACCAGGGACAATGCAGCACAAGCCCCACTGTGACCGGTTTTAAATGTTAGTTGTTAAGTATGTGCTGGCTTACCTCCGGAGGTAAACACCCATAGTGAAACATTTGATCCCTTACCGGTGTTACAACTCCTCTGCTCTAACAGAGTTAAGTTTTCCAACCCTTTTAAAACTCGAAGATATTCTCTTCTCTCCATAGCCCCATCTGGCTGATGCCCGGACGGAGGATCAAGCCTCCACTGCTCCTTGCGCTGGATAACCCACACGGGTTTTCTTCTTCTCATGAAGAAATTAATTATCATAAAAACCAAAAGCAACATATTTGTTTATCTATACCACTAATCACCCATTCTAATTATTACATAAGAGAGTTGGCGTAAGTTTCGACGTTTCAGGACGATCTGAGTTGTTTATTGAAGTAAATGTCATTTTAGCTACAAAGTGAGCGTAAATAACCCAGCTGATGCTATATCTTGTACAAACATATACTTTACTTGTATTTTAAATCAGGCTTCCTCTGTAAACTGCATTTTTAAGGAGAAAGTTGATCAAAATCTTAACGGCTGTGTAATATACAAGAAGTTGTATTATATACAGGAAGAATTTTGAAAAAAGATTAGAACAAAAGATGGTTACTTATAAAAGAATTACTCAAGCATTCATCTCTCTGTCTCTGTCTCTGTCTCTCTCTCTCTCTCTCTCTCTCTCTCTCTCTCTCTCTCTCTCTCTCTCTCTCTCTCTCTCTCTCTCTCTCTCTCTCTCTCTCTCTCTCTCTCTCTCTCTCTCTCTCTCTCTCTCTCTCTCTCTCTCTCTCTCTCTCTCTCCCTCTCTCTCTCTCTCTCTCTCTCTCTCTCTCTCTCTCTCTCTCTCTCTCTCTCTCTCTCTCTCTCTCTCTCTCTCTCTCTCTCTCTCTCTTTCTCTCTCTCTCTCTACCTGAGGAACACAGGCACATGGTATCCTCTCAGACCCACTACGTTGAGGTTGAGGACGATCACTGAGAGAGCGATGTTGAACGCGATCAGGGAGATGCAGGTGCCGTAGTACACACCTGGGGGAGAGATGACACTTTACACCTGTGTTACACCTGGGGGAGAGAAGACACTTTACACCTGTGTTACACCTGGGGGAGAGGAGACACTTTATACCTGTGTTACACCTGGGTAGAGGAGACACTTTATACCTGTGTTACACCTGGGGGAGAGAAGACACTTTACACCTGTGTTACACCTGGGGGAGAGGAGACACTTTATACCTGTGTTACACCTGGGGGAGAGGAGACACTTTACACCTGTCTTGCGCCTGGGGAGAGGAGACACTTTACACCTGTGTTACACCTGGGGGAGAGAAGACACTTTACACCTGTGTTACACCTGGGGGAGAGAAGACACTTTACACCTTTCTTGCACCTGGGCAGAGGAGACACTTTACACCTGGAGGAGAGGAGACACTCTACACCTGTGTTACACCTGGGGGAGAGGAGACACTTTACACCTGTGTTACACCTGGGAAGAGGAGACACACTTTGCACCTGGGGAAGAGGAGACACTTTAGACCCATGTTACACCTGGGAAAAGGAGACACACTTTACACCTGTGTTACACCTGGGGAGAGGAGACACTTTACACCTGGGAAGAGGAGACACATTTTACATCTGGACAGAGGAGACACACCTAACAACTGGAAAGAGGAGACACAATTTACACCTGGGCAAAGGAGACACAATTTACACATGTGTTACACCTGGGAAGAGGAGACACACTTCACACCTGTGTTACACCTGGGGAGAGAAGACACACTTTACGCCTGGGGAGAGAAGACACACTGCACACTTGGGGAGAGGAGACACACTTTACACCTAATTTGCATAGTTTCAACCCCGTTGATAGACAAAGTAGACACTTCTCGTCAGTACCGACACTGAGTTAAACATTTCACTCCTCCGTCGTTTCCAACACTGATTTTAAACTTTCACTGGCTTTTCAGTACCTACACTGAGTGAAACATTACCCCTCTGCCGTCAGTACCAAACATGAATGAAACATTTACAACCGGGTTTTCAGTACCTCCGGTGAAACAATTACACCTTGCCCAGTACCAACCTGATGAAACATTACACTCGGCTTTCAGACCCAAAATGAGTGAAACATTACACTCGGCTTTTTAGTACCTACAAGGGGGAAAATTACACATGTCGTCCCCTACCAACACTGAGTGAAACATTACACCATTTCCCCCAGTACCAACAATAAATGAAACATTAAACTCCAGCGTCGTACCCACTATAAAAAAATTACACTTTTACGTCAGTACCAAACTGAGTGAAAAAATTACCCCTGTCGTCAGGCCACATGGTTTTAAAAATTACACTTTGAGTCAGTACCAACCCAGTGAAACAATCACCCTGCTTCGCACCAGAACTGAGTGAACATTTCATCTTGGGGGGACAGTACCCACTTGAGTGAAACATTGCACACTCCTTCAGTATCAACACTCAGTGAAACATTAAATTGCCCTCAGTACCAACACTGATGAAACTTACACCTTTTTCAGTACCAAAAACCCATGTTGCAGTACCTACACTGAGTGCAACATTGCACTCTTTTTCCACCAAAACGAGTGAAAAATTACACCTGTCGCATTTCCAACAAAAGTGAAACTTACATTCACCTTCATACCAAAACTAACCCAAACTTTTCACCCTGTCGTCACACCTACACTATGAAACATTTACTCGCCCTTTATTAACAACAGAGTAAAACATTAATTTGCGCAGCCAACACTAGTGAAAAAATTACATTCTGCCTTCCATAACAAAATGGTGAAAAAAATTACACTCTGATTCAGTACCAACACTGAGTTTAAAAATTACAAACTCTGTCGTCATCCAACATGAAGTGAAACATTGCACCTCCCACATTACCAACATTTAGTGAAAAAATTACTTCACCGTCATACCCACAGAGGAAACATTACCTTGTCTTTAATAATAAAACTAATGAAACATTACATTCTGCCGCAGACCAACTTGAGTGAAACATTAAATCGCCCTTTTGTACCAAAACTGAGGAAATATTACCTTCTGTTGTCATACCAACACTGTGTTTCAGCTGGGAAGATGAAGCACACTTAACCAACACTGAGTAAAACATTACACTATGCCCCGGGTACCCACGCTGAGGAAACTTAACTCTGCAGTCGGGGCCAAAAATTGAGTGAAACATTACATTGCCTCATACCACAGAGGAAACATTACACTCTGCTTTAATAATAAACTGATGAAACACTTTTTCCGGCAAATCAGTACCACCAGAGGAAAATTACACACTGCCTTTATAATAAAACTGAAAGAAACATACATCTTTCGTCATACTACACGATTGAAACATTTTCACCCCTCGTCAGTACCAAAACTGATTGACAAATTTTCAAGCCTTTCGCTACCAAACGATTGACAAATTTCAACCCGCGCGGGGACCAACACGATTGACAAATTACAAGCCCGTCGTCAGTAAAACACGATTACAAATTTCAAAACCGTCGTCAGTACCAAAACTGATTTACAAATTACAAGCCTGTCGTCAGTACCAACACTGATTGACAAATTACAATCCTGTCGTCAGTACCAAAACTGATTGACAAATTACAAACCCTCGTCAGTACCAACACGAGCTTTCAAGTCGAGTACCCAAACTATTGAAAATTAAAAAGGTAGACCAACATGATTTTACAAAAAAATTTACCCAAAAGTTAAAAATCAAGTTGTCATACCAACATGATTAAAATTGTTTGTCCAAATTTCTTAAAATTTTTGTTAAACCCCTGATTTACAAATTAAAAGTTTGACCCCTAAAATTGGGAAAAATTTTGCAAAAAAAAAGAAAAATTACAACCTTCTCAGACCAACCGATTGACAAAAAAAGCCTGTGCGCCAAAGATTGAAAATTGTTGTGACAAAGGGGGGGGGTTTACCAAAGGAATTTTGGGGCGGGCCCCAACCCAAATTGACAAAAAACAAGCCCCTTTGCAGTTACCAAAACGATTGACAAAAAAAAGGTGTAAAAAAGGGTTGCAAATTTAAAAAAGTTTTCCGACCCCGGCCTATTTTTGGTTCCCGGGGGGGAAACTTGTTTTCCCCCCATATCGTGGGGGAAAAAAATTTTGTTCCCAAAGGGACAAATTAATCCCGCCGAGGCCAAACCCCGGTAAACTACAAAACCCAGTAGACCAACACCGGAAAATTTTAATGTGGTAGTCCTCCCGGTGACCAAACTTCTTCGGAAAAAAAATTTGGGGAAAATTAACTAGTAGAACCAACAAAGAAAAAACAGGGGGGTCCAACACTGATTTTAAAATTACAACTTTGCGTCCACATTGGGGAACAAAGTTTGTAGTTTAACCAAAAAAAATGAATTGGTACCAACACTGATGAAAATTACAATCCCTTCCTCGTACCAACATGTTAAAATTTTCCCGCCCTTTTACCCTGAGAAACACACTTGGGAAATTAAAAAAAAACAAAACTCTCTCATACCAACACTGATGAAAAATTACCTCTCTTTATACCAACACTGATGAAAATTACATTTTTTTGTCTACAACACTGATGAAAAATACACCTTTGTCAACCCCCCTCAACACCTTTAAAACCCAAAACATGAAAATTACACTTTCTAGTTCCAACACGATGAAAATTACACCCCCCTCATACCAAAATCTGATTTAAAAACAACCTCTGTCTCATCCAAAAAACTGATGAAAATTACACCGCCCTCATACCAACATGATGCATTTTCACCCGCCTTCAGTACCAACACTGAGTGAAACATTGCACCCCGCTTTAGTACCCACTGGTGAAACATTACATCCTCCTTAGTCCCCCTTTAGTAAAAATTCACTCCCGAGTACCCAAATTTACACTCTTTTTTTAGTCCAACACTGAGTGAAACATTTTTCAAAAACCTCCCCCCAGTACCAACACGATGAAACTTTTCACTCGTTTGTCGTACCCACATGAACATTAAATCCCGCCCCAATACCCAAAAGAGTAAACTTTGACCCCCCCTTGAAACCCAACCGAGGAAACATTTTCCTCGCTCGTACCAACACTGAGTGAAACATTACATCCGGTTTAGTACCAACATTTAGGAAACATTACTTTTGTTCAGCCAACCTAGTAAAACTTTAAAATGAAAATCATTTCCCAAAACGAGTGAAAAAATTAAAATCTTCCGTCAGACCAAATTAGTGAAAAATTCCTTGCCTCAACCCAAACGAAGGGGAAAAATTCACTTTGCCCCAGACCCAAAAGAGGGGGAAAAAAACCTGTTTTCAATCCAACATTGGAAACTTACACCTGCTCAGTACCAACACTGAGTGAAAAATTACACCGGGTTCATTTCCAACATGAGTGAAAAAATTTAACTTTGGCAGTACCAACAATGAGTGAAACATTAAAAACTCCGTTGCCGTACCCCAAAAATAAATGAAACATTCACTTTCCCTATCCAACACCCCAGGAAAATTCACTCCTGCTCAGTTCCAACATGAGTGAAACATTACAACTCCTTTTCAACCCAACTGATGAAAAATAAAACTTTTGGGGTCGTACCAACACTGAGTGAAACATTCCTCTGCTTCAGACCAACACTGAGTGAAACTTTCACTCCTGCGCGTACCTACACGATGGGAAACTTTCATCCCGCCTCGTACAAAAACCCGAGTAAACATTACACTCTGCCTTCAGAAACAACTTGATGAAACATACACTCTTTCTCATACCCACTGGTGAAACTTACACCTCCCAGTACCAACATTTATGAAACATTTCACTCGCGTCAGACCAACACGATGAAATTCACTTTGGCCGTCCCAAAACCCCCATAAAAAACGAGTGAAACCACCCCTGCCTTCAGTAACAAAGAGGAAACATTTCCCGCCCCAGTACCACATTGAGTGAAACTTTTCACTCTTTCCCCCCAGTACCAAATGAGGGAACATTCACTCTGCTCAGTACCAACCTGAGTAAAAACATTTTCCCCCCTAAATGTCAGTACAACAGAGGAAAAAATTACCTTGCTTTCAGTCCGTCTTACCAACACTGAGTGAAACATTACACTCTTCCGTCAGTACCAACACTAAGTGAAACATTTCTCTTTGCCTTCAGTAGCAACACTGAGGGAAACATTGCACTCTGCCGCCAGTATCAACACAGAGGGAAACATGAAACTCTGCTGTCAGTACCAACACTGAGTGACACATTACACTCTGACTTCAGTACCAACACTGAGTGAAACATTACACTTTGTTGTCATTACCAACACTGAGTGAAACAATACACTCTGTTGTCAGTACCAACACTGAGTGAAACAGTACACTCTGTTGCCAGTACCAACACTTAGTGAAACATTACACTATATCGTGAGTTCCAACACTGAGTGAAATATTACACTCCTGCCTTCAGTACCAACTCTGAGTGAAACATTACACTCTGTCGTCAATGCCAACACTGAGTGAAGCATTACACTCTGCCGTCAGTACCAACACTGAGTGAAACATTACACTCTGCCTTCAGTACCAACACTGAGTGAAACATTGCACTCCTGCTGTCAGTACCAACACTGAGTGAAACATTACACTCCTGCCTTCAGTACCAACTCTGAGTGAAACAAATTACACTCTGCCTTCAGTAACAACACTGAGTGAAATATTACACTCTGTCTTCAGTACCAACACTGAGTGAAACATAACACTCTATCGTGAGTACCAACACTGAGTGAAACATTACACTCTGCCATCAGTACAGACATTTAGTGAAACATTACACTCTGTCTTCAGTACCAACACTGAGTGAAACATAACACTCTATCGTGAGTACCAACACTGAGTGAAACATTACACTCTGCCATCAGTACAGACATTTAGTGAAACATTACACTCTGTCTTCAGTACCGACACTGAGTGAAACATTAAACTCTGTAGTCATAAACCCAAAACTTTAGTGAAACATTACACTCGTACAGTACCAACACTGTGTTACAGCTTGGACAGAGGAAGCCACTTTACCCCATTTCTAAAACATTACACATTGCCGTCAGTACCAACACTGAGTGAAGCATTACACTCTGTCGTCAGTACCAACACTGAGTGAAACATAACACTCTATCGTGAGTACCAACACTGAGTGAAACATTACACTCTGTAGTCAGTACCAACACTATGTTACAGCTGGGACAGAGGAAGCACACTTTACCAACACTTAGTAAAACATTACACATTGCCGTCAGTACCAACACTGAGTGAAGCATTACACTCTGTCGTCAGTACCTACACTGAGTGAAACATTATGCTCTGCCATCGGTACCAACACTGAGTGAAACATTATACTCAGCCGTCAGTACATACAGAGTTAAACATTACACTCTGCCTTCAATAATAACACACAGTGAAACATTACACTCTGCGGGGGTTTCCACACGAGTGAAAAATTTCACTTGCCTCAGTCCAACCTGAGTGAAAATTCATCTTTTTAGTACAACCGAGTGAAACATTCACTCCTGCCCCTTTTTCAACATGAGG